AGTTTCTTTTTAGCTTGGGTCGGTGCCAAGTATTTGTCCACCTGCTCTTGAAATTCATCATACGCCTCAATCAGGTCTTGCGGTAATTTCTCTCGTATATGTCTCAAAGAGAGAAAATCTCCTCTAGTGAGAAGCCAATGCCATTTCCAACGCTCCTCGAGAGACCCCATAAAGTCTTGCATAACTTCCTCTCCCCAACTCTGGAAAATATCCTTAACCTCGTTCTCTATTTCACATTCAGATTTGAACCCGTTGCTCTGCTTGACTTTCTTCAAGACATGTCTAAATATTTTCAGTCCCATTATCTTTCGATTCCTCTCCCTAGCATTTCTCAACTCCAATCTCCTAACTTCCTTCTGCCTCTCATACTTCTTCATTGCTCTGACCGCTTTCTCAGACATAGGCGGACGCAAAACCGAAGGTGGAACAGCCTGAAGATACATACCTAAAAAGTTTATTTTTTCTGCCACCGCACTATGAATCGCCGTGTTCACTCTATCTACTCTCAAGTTTAATCTCTGTTCTAAAACGTCTACAATCCGCTTCTTCAAATCCATCGTAAGCATTTTCGATCCGGATGTTATCAGAAGTATCTCATCCAAATACCTAACTGCATATATATTTACTGGTTTATAGAAAACATTACTTGCCGAATCTTCCTCCTCTCCCGTACCAACACGAGGATTCTTCAGTTTCATCTTAAGCCTCATATCTTGAATCTCTTTATCAACACCATCAAAGTAAACATTGATCAAGATCGAACACAATCCACATTCTTGTGGAAAACCTCTTCCACTATTACATCCACCAAGTTCAATCCTTACAATCCCAAACTCAAACAGCTTCTTTATCATCTCAATCAACAAATCATCATCAATCTTCTCACAAACAAAGCCACAGATTTTATCAACATTCCTCTCATTGAACATCTCTCGAGCAAACGAAACACGAAACCACCAACGTGGATTCTCTACAGAGTTTTTCAGGTAACGAATCGCTGTATGCCTACCCATACCAACACGACCACCATACGAAAACGTAGCGAATCGATCATCATACACAATCTCAAGAACCATTCTTATAGCTTCAATCAAAACTTTCAATTTCAGATTAGGTAGAACAAGAGATTCAATTTCGACGCAGCAAGAACGGAAATCAAATCTGCCTTCACGTATCTCGCGACCCATTTCTTCGATCGAGAATCTCTTCGAGACTCGGTCGGTTAACTCGGTGGACGAATCGCTCGAGTTGGAGGAAAGAGATAGATTCTGACAAGCGGAGAGAAGGACTGAGGGTAAAGCAACGGCGTTTTTAACGAGACTGTGGAATTTTCCATGAGAGTATTGCTTGAGAATTAATGCTTCGAGCTCTGATTTCGCCAATGGCTGAGTAATGGTTTCGTCGGAGTTCAACAAAAGCGAAGCCGTGGTGAGGTTTCTCAAGGAAGAAGAGAGAAGGAAGGAGATTCCACGCTTGTAGAGATAGTGAGCTCTCAGCTGCAAAACCATGGAATCGACAAGTTCAGCGAAGTGAAATGCCGTCTGAGTTTCAGTCGGAGAATAGTTCACCGGCGGCGACGGCGACG